GTGTTCCTATGTCCCGGCGAAGTAGTCGAGACTACCGGCGAAGTTGATCTGTTCCGGTCTTTTCAACCAATCAGAATGTGGCAAATTTTGAAGCCCGCAACTTTCAGACCACAAATATTTTTATTGCTTAACCTGATTCGTCAAAAATGTCGAAAACTTATTTTTTTAAACCCGTTTTAATCAAGAAACATTTAAAACTATAACGAATACGTTTGCAAAGTTCACGCAAATAAGTTACGATGTGAAACATATTTTCTATTCCCACAGAGATGTTTAAAACGGTGATTTTTTAGCTTCTGATCTATTAATAACCAATCAGAGCGTCGCAAATTTTAAAGTCCGTTCTGCACGATGTAAAAAAAAAGATCGCATTGTATTGTAGTTTCGTTTTGTGTTACTATATATAGATTTTTGCTTGAACTATATATATACCACGCATACGATACAAAAAGAGCTCGCTGCGGTCGCTATTAAATGATTCTGATGATGGTTATGATATACTTCTAACATCTAGGAATTTAGATTAATATATTGTTTTAAAGTTTAATTATCAACTGTTAAACACCACACTCTTAGTCACACATAACCATTCTTACTAGGCATTTAGGCATCTTAATAAATGTTATAATAATAAAGAAAAGTTTCATTTTGTAACTATTCATATCATTATTTTAATAATATGTTTAAAGTACAAAATTATTACAAAATAACATAACACATCTTATCATATGTCATATCAGCAGCACAAGGACTACATAATGGATAATTATATTCGATATATATTAATTTATATATAATTAATATTGAAATATTTTAAATTTGTGTATTTATTATTTAAAATCTGAAAATCTGATATGATGTATTATTAAATTAAATATGATCAGCTTTCAGCTTAGATAGAACACCACTCTAGATACTGCAAATACTACTCGGAAACAGACTATAATCCTTCTAACAACATTCTTCTCTCTGTTATTTTTAAAAGTGGGGGAACCGAGAACGGTGTAGTTGCAAGAGAAATTAAAGAAAATATGTTTATAAAGGTCCTCAAACCCAGCCTGAATGCACAATGATTTTTGCAATGTATTGTATGTAGATGTTTTCTCTGTCTTGGTATTGTTTGTGACGTCACTATGCTTGTTTATTTATGACGTCACTAAAATTGTTGACTATACAAATATTGATGACGTCATGTAACCAACGGTGATAAATAAACATCAATCCGCCTGAAGAAGCCCTAGAAGGCAGAAAGGCCTAGCGGACGATCTGAAAAATTTGTTTTTATTCTATATATATATATATATACAGTACTGTCATATACATGTAGCTTTGATATAGTCTATTTTCATAATATTTAGCCATTTTTTTCATATCATATACCATTTTCATCTATACAAAACATACAAAACAGTAACAAATATATATTTTATATACTTAATAGTATATATATAGATGATAATGCTTTGATTCATTTAAATTTTAATTTATCTTGATTTAATTTAGGGTGAAGCAAATTGGAGCATTATTTTCAGAGAACCTTTTTTACCAATAAATGCGTCTTCAGTGTAATTATTAATAACTTAGTATCACTCATTAGATTATTTTACCCTAAAACATAATCATTAGTTATGTTTCTATTTGATAACCCCATATGGCTTGGGTCCACTGATATTTCCAGTTGATAATAATGAATCTTAACACCTGATGGTTTGGGTCCATCAACTGACCACTTTACTGGAGCGCATTGAGTCAACAATTAATTATACAAATATATGAACTTATAAAGAGACATATAAGCTGACCGTTTGCAAAGCGATTTATCACTATTAATAGAAATACATTCTCTGTCCGGTAATAAAAAGTGAATACATTTCATAACCTAAATGTTCGTCACTTAATTGATGCCATGGTGATTAAACAAGTGAGATTGTCCAAGCTTTATGTTTTGTTAGTCTCACACATTCCCCATCAACCACCAACATGGCAAATGCACAAATTCAAGTGACGTTATCTTCGCAACAAGTTTGGAAGGCAGAACATCGCCTACAACGGATATATTTACTGTGTTAAAGGGACATCACGCGAAAAGCCATATTTTTTTTAATGAATGTATGTATTGTATGCACTTCCACTTATGTTACCTCGCTATCCCCATATTCATAGTCCGTTCCAAATGTCCAGTTTGACCACTTGAATTGTTCGGGAAAGCCCTGCTAAAAATAGCGCCGGTCACGTCACCTGACTAGGCAGTAAACACCACCGGTCTGGGCGAGATGAAACGGTTTCCAAAGGGGCCCCCAGAGAGGGGCGTCAGGCAACTGCAACTTCCTACCGCACTATGAAACCAAGTAATATGATTTCTAAGTCCGTATTAAAACTTATTGAACAGTAGTTATTCATCATCAGAAGTTAATTGCACACTTGCCAATATTCAGAATTTAAATTTATTTAGCTTTAAACATATTTGTTGCCAATAAAATTGAACAAGGGATGGGGCACACGTTTTTACAATTTATCACGGGCTTCTCCCGTCATACATTTACAATTAAATGTCAACAATGATAATAGGCATAAACATAAAGTATATATATATAAATATATATTGAATTTAGTACCGGAATGTGACATCTGTACGGGGCTAAACACCTTTCTTCAACCATGGGACAAACCTTTCTGTAAAAAGGATTATTCACGAGACGAATATTCCTTTTCAAATGTTTTCATAAAGTGCATATATGCAATGACAAACTACACGCGTATAAAAAAAGAGAAACGTTTGTGATTTGTTTTATTACATTGTACAACTCAATATCTTTGGCCAATGTTTTTTTTCTATACCATGCATAAACAAATATGTATACTCTCTTTCCCACTTTCACCGTCTCCATACGCTAACTCTTAGTAAGTCATATTAGCCATCACACACACTAAACTGTATGGCAAAACCACTACGTGTATATGTAGAATATGTGTCAGATATGGGCTACTTGATAATTATATTTTTTCAATACTTTTCATAGATTAAAGCATTCTTGTCAATGGACCCTTTTTATGTTGAGCCAAGTTTTCTTTAATCATTTCATTTTTGTCCGAAACAGAAGCCGTAGTTATCGGCAGCACGCGTCATTTTTACAACGTAAACAAATGTTTCTTCCCCTGTTTTCAATACATATTCCGATTCTATCTGAAGTCGAAGATTAATTCTTTATAGAGAAAAGGTTGTTACATGATCATACATTCTGAGTCAACAACATATGAAAACATGAACTGTTGAAATATTACGATTTAAAAAAAAAATGTTACGCGATCCTTTTTACTAGAAGTAGGTTCTCCTTCCTCAGTTATTCATCCTGGCCCGTCATTTTGACATTTTTACTCTATAGCTGCGATAATGTAGCTTTCTGACGACGAGAGATTTTTTTTTATATATTACGTCGTTGCGCCAGAGGAAGCCGGGTATTCATATTAGTACTAATTTAAATCTTGTATGTAAAAACAAACAAAAAATCGTTTAATTCAGCAATATAATTAAATCATACCATTTTACTGAACCCGGTAATATTATAAATTATGTAAATCTAAAAGCGCACGTATCTCATTTGACCCCGATCACGAGCACCGACAGAGACGGCTATCACAACAGTTAACCCTTGGAGGGCCTCATGACAAAATCAAACTAACCAGTCACTTATCCCTTCCTTTCGCATAAACCACTGTATAATTATAGAAACACAAAGTAAACTCTCTCCGATACATGCCCATCGACATATTTAACTAAGTTCATCTGTGTTCAAACTCAGACAAAGATACTAGCGAGGTTAATAGTTTTAGATATTTATTCATAACATAAACAGCGCTAGCATTTCTGTCGATTCCATTTCAGCTTAACTGGCTATCCGGAAGAATACATGCACCGTACTAACTGCTAGGGCAGTTGTTTTCTCCTTTGAATACTCCCACCTGTAATAATGATTCCGTAACGTACTCCGTGCGCTATCTTTTGACCATTTGGCAACTTTTCGCTTCGTAGCTGACACGGTACAACACTTTTCTTTGGCTTACTTCACACGGTCAGTCATTTTGTTTACAAAGAAATGGTGTGCAATGCGCATGCGCTAGTAGAGGGAAATCCCTGAACAAAATGTTGGTCAGACAGGTAGAAATACCGATAATTATCTTAGATTTAATCATTTTTATGAATCTATTTCAGCCAAATCCGATCGTTATTTTCCATAAGGAGTCTCACTTGATATGTTTATGTAGTATTTGAAAAAAAGACAAAAAAAAATTAGTTACTTCACCGTGATGCCCCTTTAGAACAACTGAGGTGAGCGTGTATATTGGAGATGTACCATCCCCAACTGTCCAGCTACCCTTAGTACCCGAAACAACATCCCTACTGGAAACGGCCGCCATCTCCACAACCACCCATATGATTGATTTGATCAACCAGTGCTAATTATAAGTATTCCATGTGTACATGTAATTAAATTTGTTTTATTTATTTTCATTCCAAGCTTTGCATCTGTTTTTGCATATACATGATCTATGTCTGAACTGATAGTATTTCCTGCTAAATTTAGTTCTATTTTATGAAATATATATATAACATACATGTAAATGTGTAGTAAAAATGTATAAACTTGATGATTTAATATGAAATTAATAAAAGCAGGTTTTCAGTTAATGTATTTTGATGTGTTTTTATAAGTAATAAAGGGAACCTATATATATTAACTTATAGTAAATATTACGTAAATCAGTTAAATATTCCTATAACTAACACAGTATTTGCTATTAGTGAACAGGTAGATACAGGTAAATAATCTACCTGTACTATACCAGAACAGACTATAATAACACATCTATTGTTGTCCAGTGTTTATATAATTCCTTTGATCAGAAAAAAGTGGGAGAAAGGAGAACAAACCCCGAGAAGCCCATGCCAGACTGAACTGACCAGGTGTTAGGCACGCTAACACATCGCACAAGCGTAAACTGAGTTACATGGTCCTGATTGGACGAGCGGACAAAGAGGTTATTTATAAGTACGCGTGTCTCGGTCCAAAATTCACTCAACGCCCAGACATCGATCATAAACAACGGCAACTTAACCTGTTCTTCAAATTCCGGTAAGAATATTTGATTTTTTTTTTCAGTTTGTACTCTTTTTGATAATTTAAAAATGTGAAAAAAAGTTTTATTTTGAAGAATTAATAATGTATTAAAACTTTATTGGTAAACGTAAGATGCTTTATTGTCTCGCCTGCGAAGGAGCTATCATAATTATATAACCATCCAAACAGAGATTTCAGATCCAGAATTTGAACTAAGATTTACTGTTAATTGAACTTTGTTAATTAATTGGGCCATTTTAAAGTTTTCCGTTCAGCTCCACATTGAGCTAAATTTGCTACCATAATGAAACCTGAAATATGCTTGTATCTATATATAACTATCCAAACGCACATTTCAGATTCAGAATTTTATCAAAAATTTATTGTTAACTGGACTTTGTTAATTAATAGGGCCATTTTAAAGTTTTCCATTTAGCTCCACATTGAGCTAAATTTCTCTCTATGTACATAAGCTATCATAATGAAACCTAAAATATACTTGTATCTATCAGAGACGTATAATACAGAGATTGGCAACTTGCTCTTAGCCTTACCATTGGTCACTGGTAACCGGATGTCATATCGCGAGTTACGCTTCACCTGCGCCATATTGGATGTATACGGTTCGCTGTTCAAAACATAATTATGCCATGAGAAAACATCGAAAATCAACGTAATATTAAACCCGTAGCTAGCTGAGATTTCCATGCGGTTTGGTAGTGCTACATTGAATGTAAACTTAAATGATTAAGTTTCGAAAAAACCAAACATCGAAAGATTGCACATCGTGGCTGTGTTTACATATCGGGAATGATTCTGGCTTCAGGAGAACACGAACTTCGTTTTTGTTCTTTAGACAATTAAAAAAAATCACCAGAAATTAATTATTTTATAATATTTCTAATGTATTATACGTCTCTGTGTGTTACCATCCAAACACACATTTCTTAAGGTGGCTCCACACATCGTCATCAGCGTCCATTTTCGTGACGTGCTTCCGGAAAAAGTACAGCTCGGACTCAATTATCTTGATCGAAATATGCATGTACAACGTGTCGTCATTTCCGTATTGCGTATCGGGCATTCAATGTCGTAGTGCAAATTATAGTAACACCTTGGCCGTTTTCGTTTAAACGGTCAAACCGATCGGACTACTGTTGTTCGTTTATTAAAAAAGGTCGGACCTAGTAATCTGATGCTGCTTTCAGGCGAGCCTTGAGAAAGCCTTGCAAGGCCTGCATGCGCCAGGATTTATACCCGAAATTGTTACATCTATAAACGGTTAAACCGGTTGCATAAACGAACAGGTCCCTGGTAAACAATAGTACACGTGCGTGCCGATTATATGTTAACACCCGATATCGAGATCTTACCGGGAAATGTATTATCACACGTACTTTAGGAATAAAGCTTTCCAATTCATAGACATAAACAGACTCACGGGAAGACAGTGACATGAGACCAACGACCTCAAGAAGGTTATATAGGAAACGCATGGAATGTGGACGTACCGACCTCACATGTGCATATCACGTGCTTACACGAGTTCATAATCTCGAGGTCGTTATGTTACTAACGTGTTATTATAAATATACCGTGAGTTAGCGGACTGTGGAATGGTGTCCAAAGTGTATGCATGACTGAGGGTAATTTGGTTCCATTAAAGAACAATAAATTGATAATTTTGATATCATATTTTTGATTTATTTCCATCATTTTTGTTATATGTAAACAGAG